TTAGCAGAAAGAATTAGAAAAATTAATTAAGGCAAATATAGATTAAAATAGCACCTTTGCAAACTTGTATGTAAACACTGAATTCAACAAATGTGGAAAAGTTAGTGATCAGCAAAAAACATAAGAACAAAAAAGTTTTGGATTTAATTAATAATGTGTGTTTTATCTTAAGTCCTTAAATGTTCAAAGAAAATAATTTCCATTTAGTCCTTTGAAAAATATCCATTGCATATAAAAAGATGGATATCTAGAACAGATACATTCTTAATATTTACTTTATTAGATGAGGGTAATAGTCTGTGTCCTGTCATTTGATTAAGTATGAAAGGGATAGGCTCCTCTGTCTGAGAATTTTCAAAGAGGTAGTCTACTGAAGGGTGCATGTGATAGGATTTTTCTTTTTATTCAGGTTTTTTAGAGACAATGGGAATCCTTGTTAAGCTGTGGATTAAATAGTAGAACTCGTATCTAGAAAAATCATTGTTATTTTCAAAAAATTGTTCATGTCAAAAGAAGAATTATTCTTACAATCCAAAACATTTAAATTTGGTTTTAAATAACTCAAAAAGATTGATAAGCCATTGAAAAAAAAAACAAAAAAAAAAACAATCCATCAAAAAAAAAAAATCCTTTGTTGATGGAGCTTCTGTTCATTGAATCTGACATTAAGAAGATGGTCGTAAAATATGTGTAGAATGTTGTGGTTATCACAATGTTCTACATACAGGTGAACACACATATACATTCTATTGGGTTGTTCAGAAAGTTCATGTTAATTTTAAAGGAAATTAAAACAGAAAAAAAATTTGTTATTAAATGTTCATTCAACTAGATATGAATCATTTTGTTGCACAACCTTTCTCCATTTTTCTATCACCTGAATGATTTCATCTTCTAGAATTTTGGTGGTTTCTTAGCAAAGAATTCATTAAGGTGTTTTTTTTAATGCCATTCAAAGAATTAAGGTTTTTACCATTAAGATTATTTTGCAAGGACCTGAATAAATGAAAATCCAAAGGAACAAGGTCTGTTGAAGATGGTGGGTGGGGTAACACATCCCTGCTAAGCTGTAACAATTTTTGCCAGGTTGCCAAAGAAACGCAAGGTCTGGCACTATCCTGATGGAAAACAACACCTTTCTTTTTTGCTAATTCTGGGTGTTTTTCTTAAATTGCTGTCTTTAATTCAACCAGTTTTGGGTGGTACTTTTCAGAATCAATTGACTGGTTACTTGGTAGAAGCTCATAGTAAAAGATTCCTTTCCAATCCCACCAGATACACAGTATGACTTTCTTAGGACGAAGACCTGCTTTTGAGGTGGCTAAAGTTAGCTCATGTCACTTACCCAGGATCTTTTTTGCTGTACATTATTGTAAGCAATTTTCTCATCACCTGTCACAATTAGCTTCAAAAAGGGTGCATTTTCATTGGGTTTATGTAGCAAATCACAGATGAAATGCAATCCAAAAGATTCTTTTCATTCAAATCATGTGGTACTCAAACATTTTTTTGATAAACTGGATGTTGATAAATTTATTGTTTCTGATAATTTCCACATTGTATAATGTGTGTTATTCTCAATCAATGTCTTCATTTGTTCATTATCTGTAATGTGTGTGGGGAGGTGGTCTTCCTGAGCATTTTTCATCAATAAGGCTGCAATCACAAACTCTAAACTTGGTGAAACACTTCCATACAGTTCTGTCAGATAAAACACATTCACCATACACAGCATATATCTTTTTTGTTGCTTACAAGGCATTTTTGTTTTTACAGTAAAAAAAAAAAGCATCAAGTGTCTAAAGTGCATCTTAATCTTCCATTTTCATAGGGATGCAAAATTTACACAAATTGAGTAATTTTAAACTTTCTTTCTCAAGAGACAGTTTGAAGTCTGCTCTAATTGGAAATATAAACATGTCTGTTAATAAATTTGATGTGTTCTAACATGTTAGAACATGAATAACTAAAAATTGGCACAAACTTTCTGAAAAACCCATACATACAGGTGAACACACACTCATACACAAAGAAGGAAAAAAAATCAACCTAACACCAATAAAAAGTTGATGAATTATTTTTTTTAACTTAATATAAGAATAATGAAAATGAGAAAATCTGCAGACATTTGCTGAGACCTCCTGACAAGTAGACTGAACAATTACAAAAAGGTTCATCTCTAAAACTCTCGAATTGGAGTGCTGAATATAATATTAATCTGCTAAATGACAAATTTTATATTTCTTTGGAAATTGATTCCACTTAGTTAATAGTGTTGTGCCCAATTCAACTAGATGATCAATATAGTGTAGTAATAATAATAATAGTAGTAGTAATATTAATAAAAGTAGTAGTAATAGTAGTAGTGGTATTACTACTACTCATAGTTGTAACAATAGTAGTTGTAATAGTAACAAATAAATAAACTACTTAGTTTTATTACTGGTGTTACTATTGAAGATATGATATTACATTTAACTAGTATTTAAACCATATTGCATGTTAAGATATAAGTCTGCACCCACTGGCTGAGGAGTTGCTTACTGACCTTCCCCAGAGATCACTCTTTTCAATTTTGTTCTGACTCTGTAAAAAGTTTTCATACTTTCACAAATATACCTTGTTAGTTTTGGGCCTTTATAACTATGGACTTTGTGTTTCCTGAAATTTTTTTTTTATTCTTCCTATTAAGAAATTATATTGAAATGTTCAAATCTTTTTTTCTCTTAAAAGTAACTGATATATCATTTTCAAAGAGAAATATTATTTAATGACTATATTTTTCATCAATTTTCTCCTGTACATTTTGTTAATAACATTGCCAGTTTATAAATACTACATCCACTAAATTTAATAAATCTTATGATTGAATTTAAAATCTTTTTTATTGTCTTCTTAAATACTTAATTTCTTTAGTTGTAGTCATTAGAGTCTGGACAGTATAATTTTTATTCCTCTTTTATTTAATATATTTCTTGTTTCTCTGGTAACTAAAATTTGCATTCAGATAGTTTCATTCTTATAGTGATTTACTAAGTGTAACTTAGATGTGGTACAAGGCTGAAAGCTTGGAGTCCATAGTGAGGATTGAACTTACTTGTCAGTCATAATTGATCTAGTGAAACCAGCTTGTTAACTATTACTTCACTTTGAAGTGCTCTACTTCCCTTTTTATAATTGTCAAGTGACCTTAGTTAACCCTCAATGCTTCTTGAAATATTAGTCTTTCTTAACATTTAGTGGAAAGTGTCAGAATAAGATCTATGGGAATTTATTATTACTAATTTCAATTAACTGACATTTAACAATTAACAAACATATTATCAGTAAATATTAAATAAAAACATAATCCCTCATATTAAAATATTTTAAAGTAGTTTTAAAATTTTATTTGCTAAATTTATCCTAAGGAATATTTGAATGTTTGAAAAAAAATGCTTTGAAATAATATTTGTTTATTTTAATAGTATTTTATTTTAATGAAGAATTTAAACATTAAAAGAAATAATGTTTGATTTTATGCAATCTGTATAGAGCAGTAGTTCCCAAATGGTGTGGTGTGCATCATAGATGCAGCGGAAGGGGATTGAAAGACAATCAAAGATTTAGAAACAGTTTCAAAAAATTCATATGCCAAAAATAAATATGATGTCAAAATTTAAAATATTATTATGAACTACTTGTAATTGCATGCATGAGTCCCATAAATAGTTATAAATAATTATTGATTGATTTTATCATTTTGATATTTTTGCATTATATCAAGTATTAAGAATATAGTAACGGGGAGTCTACAAATTGGAGGAGAACGTTATCAATGATAATGTTCTGACTTCAAATCTGTAGTTATCTCCTTTTAATTTTCTCGCTGTTTTTAATTTTTGAGTGTACTTAAAATTTGGTGAGGTGCTAACAAATTTTAATTCTCAAAATGCTGCCCAGAGGTAAAAAAAAAAAAAAAAAAGAGAGTAAAATAAAAAAAAAAAATGTTTGGAAATAACTGGTATAGAGTATTGCTTTTATCTAGCTTGTTTGGTTTTTCTTTCAGATTCTATGACCTTAAATATCTGCAACTATGAAAAATTCACATTTTTTTTGTTGTCACCTGTAAGCAGTACAATTAATAAAAAAAACCAAAAAAAACTTACAGCAAAATTCTTATTTGCATTCTTTTTCCTCACAAAGCCTAAGTTTTAATATGTCTTTCTGATTAGGCTTTATTTTCCCCAGACTTTCAGATATGGCATTTCAAAACAAGAAAATAACGGGAAAAAATTATTATTTTTTATTCAGTTGAGCTTGTTCGGATATTCATGAATCTATCATGGCAACCATCACAATCCTGCATCGAGGTTGGACAGCCATAAGAGTGACATTCTGGGTCAATGTAGGTGGTTACTGGATAACTAACCTCTCTTGCTCTGTAGCTTGTCCAGAGCAGTAGATCACTCATGCATTTTCGTTTTCTTCACCATCACTGTCTGGCAAAGTGCATTCTGTATTCGCATAAGATTGTAGAAATATCAGGGATGAGTCCATAGAGCTGTAATTTAATTGGATGTTGTCTTTAAGTATAGCCCTCTGCATCCAAGTGCAGGTTCTGTCAAGTTTGTCCAAGCAGTGGCACTATACATTAACACCGCCTCTACAGTGGCTCAAAAGAATCTCCCCTTGAAGTTGTCTGGTAGATCAGATTTCCAGATTACATTCATTTTATCTAAGGCTCTAGCTATGTGAATTTTCACATTCTTTTTAGTAGAATTTATTTCACTTCCTAGATCTGTAAAAGATTTGACAGATGTTATTGATTCACCTGAGATAGTTTGTATTGAGCCTTGTTGGTTTAAGCCTATGAATTCTCTTTTATACTTTATTCTTATTCAATATATTTTCATTTAGAGGCACAGTAGCACAACCATATTGTATTTTTGTGCACTATATATTTTAATTTTGATTTGTTACTTCAAAAAGATTGATGTAATTTTATTTTCTCTTTTCAGGGCGAGAAGTCTCCACCTGGCAATATTTCAGCCCCGGTTAAGAAAAACAAACCTTGTAAGTAATGAGTTATCTGCTCCTAATGGTGTTTGTGTGGATTTTTATACTCAGATAATTTTGAGTACCCGAGAAAAGTGAATAAGAGCAGATAATAGGCCTTATTCACACTACTTAATTTGCTATAAGTTGAGCCAAACAAGTTCTCTCCCCTTGGTCCATAAAATCAAATCTGTACAATAGCCAAGAGGGTTCAGAAATCGACTTGAATTGTAAATTTATTTTCATCGGTATGAATTGTACTGAATATTATTAGCGTATTTGTTGGTTTCTATTTTGGTCGAGACAGGATACAATTTTTTTTTTTTTTTTTTTTTTTTGAAATATAAACACATTAAAATATATAAAATTTAAACTTGACACATTTTGTATTATTAAAACTAAATCTTGTGTTTTTTTTTGTTTTTTTTAACTTTGTCAGGCTGATTTAAAGTGATTCTATATTAAGCAAAGGAATTATAAGAGAGTGAACACTTTATTAGATACAGAATTTTGATGTCTAAAAATTATTGAATATATTTTGGGGGGATTTTTTCATATAAATTTTGTTATATCATTTGAAAGAAAAAATTATTACAGTAACATAAATAACAAAGAAAACAAATTACAAAGTTTACAATAAATTTGCCCCAAATTTTCCTTTGTTCACTTAAACAATAAAGCAAGATAACCAGTTCAAAAAATTAAAAAAAGGGCTGATATAAATTTTTAATAAACTTTTCACTTACTTACATAAATTCAAAAATCTTTTAGAAGAATGGCAAATTCACAAATGATGCTGAGAATTTTAACAATAGTTCAGTTATCTTTAACTATGATTCCTTGGCATTTTGAAGAAATAAAATTGATTTCCTCAATTCACAAGGTTTTGGAGATATTACAAATTGAATTTAAAACAAAAATTTTTAAATTCACAAAGTTTTTGTATTACTTTAAACTCAATATAAGTTGAAATTTTTTTAAAATCATTTTTTTCAGTTATTTTAAAATTTGAATTTTTAACTGTTCCCTCCTCATCCAAACACAAATCCCAATGCTGGATGTTCAAGAACTGGATAAATGGTAAATTTTCAAACCCTGAATCATCTTTATTCCAAAAAGGTATAATGTGGCTATGTAGAGAAAGTGTGGCCCAAGTTAGAGGAGTTTCAGACACACGGGGACAGACAGACAGACAGAATTTGCTGTTCATTTTTTTTAAGTAGATGGATTCATCAAAAAATGTGCACCATATTAATTGAAAAGAAGTCCCCCCCCAAGTTCTAATTGAATTTAGTCAGAGAAAATAATTGTGTATTTTATGGATATAAAGTTTAAAAATGACTTTGTAAATTTTAATTATGAATAATCATTTAAATATTAAAAGAAGTGCATAAAAAAAATTGTCAAAAAAATCTACATTCACATCCAAATTAATAGAATTTTTTTTTTTTATTAGATTCAGATTTCAGAATGTTTGGAAATATTAAACAAATTCCCATTGCTGTCTTGTTGGAACTGAGATTTTTAGAAATTTTTCTCAGAGAAACATTCCAAAATTTATAAGTGTTTGACCAAATGTTGGAAAACGTTCTTAAAGAAACAAACATTATTTTATCTATAAAAGCTAAGAATTGGCAAAGATTCATTTGCAATGATATTTATGATTGGTATTTTGTGAACTGAATATGTCTATACTTATTTATGTCAGTCCATCATTGTATGAGGCTGATAGGTTATAAAGTATATAGCTTTGTTCTATATAGGGATGTGTTATAAAAGCAATGTTGAATGGGATTAAAATTGTAATAATAGCTTATCCAAAAGGGATATACATAACACTACTTCCCTCTCTGTGTAACAAAAGATGAAATAAAAAGAAAAGTATCAGTTTCTTTTCTGAGAAGAACAGTCGGCAAACATAGACCTTCATGCTCGCAAAAAACAATGTTTCAAATTGACACCACTATTATTTTAATTATGTTCTCTCCCTTGGCAGTGTTTATTTACAAGATTATAAAAAAATTATTTATCTCTTATAAAGATTTATTATTTAGCATTTTATAAAGAAATAAATGAGTAAAGAAATCTTTTTATTTAAAAAATTTAAAAAAGAAAAAAAAATTTACAAAAGCAGTTTTCATTAGTTTATGAATTTGGTACCTAGTAATTGTGACTTCAGTCCCTGTGCCAGGGAGTATGTACTATGACTCAGTGGAAACAGGGCTAGCAATAACCGTGTAACACTAAAAATGAGAACTAGATGATATATCCCTAGACATGGGCAGTGGAACAATAACAGGCTACCCTTGTACATTAAATAAAGGCTTCAGTATGGAATTGCCTGTAGGTTTTTTGTTTTTAATCATATCACCCCAAGCAAGGTGATAATGCCACTGGAGCAAGGTGAGAAGGGGTTATAAATATGTAAGTTTGAATCTGATGAGAAAGATTTTCTAGCATGATGCAGTGAACCAACTTTCCTAGCAGTATACATAGCAATTGACTTGATGTGGTCGGTCCACTTCATGTCAGTGTCAAATGTGTTACCTGGATCTACATACACCTGATGAAGGCTAGAGGGCACAACAGCCAAAATGTTGTGATAATAACAATAAAGATGAGGACAATAATTTGCATGTAAATAGTGTAAAAAGAAAGGAATGAGTTTCAGGGATAAAGCAGAAGTTTCTATACTTGTCATATTCTGCACCTTATAATTGCAAGGTTTGTAAATATCTTGAGCCAATTGATTTTTTTTTTTGTAGAGTGGGGGGGAATTTGATACTTTCAGATAATATGAAAAGATGCATGGTCATCTCAAGAATGTTTATCAATCATGAGATCATCTTTTTATAAAATCTGTTCTTTATGATTCAAATGGCCATAAGCTGCATGCTTTTTTTTATGTTGTACTTGAGCTGTTGATAATCCCTTTTGTGGCAATTGATGTCAAACATTGAGATATATAGAAGAAAGAAAGTAGAAACTGGATGCAAAACCTAAGATGAAACTTGTTCTGAATATTGTTGTTTAAAATTTAACCAAGTCAATTGAAACTTAACCTAGTTGATATGTTATCTGTTGGTTATGGTGACCAGCTCAGCTACATGTCTGTTTAAAAGTGAACCTGTGGTTGTCTACAGCAACAGATCTCATTTTACAATTATAGAAATATTTCAAAGAAATTCCTAACCACCTTTCTTGTGAATATTTTTCTTTTGTTTTTCTGATTTTATTTGTATTGTTTCTCATCTTTCTTTCCAGTCCAAAGTGTTCTTTTATTGTATGTACTACAAGGAAAAAAAACACAAAACCCCCCACTGAAATTGATTCTCTAATGTTTACCTTCTTATTTCAGCTGATGACAGATTTCCAACAAGATCTGTTAAAAATTCCTCTCCAATGTCTGAGAATATTTATTGGGAAATCATGCCAAGTAGTGAAGAGAAAATTTTTGACAGACCTAGGAGTCCTTCATATCTAGATACCAGAATGAGACATTCCATTAATGGTAATATTGTTCCTACTGGCACCCTGACCCTGTCTTTGCCCAAATTATGACAGTGATGCTTATTCTTCCTGAGAACAACTTTATGCTTTTAGACAAAGCTTTAGTTCCTCAATCCATTCCTGTTGGTAATCCCCTCCTCCAAAAAAACAACATTGCTTCCTGTATTCTATTGCTAAGCACAATGTGTATTTTTTCTTCTCCTTGGCCCTCATCCACATTCATCTGGAAAAAATAAATTATTTACCCCTTACTCGTTATAGCCTTTTCACTATGTATAGAGATTTTATAGTAAGTCTTATAGATTACTATTTTGTTTCTTTAATGAAAACATGTTTTCTAGAACCAGTCTTTAATATTGCAATTCAAAGAGAAAAGTCTAAAATTTTGGACACATTCATTTATGAAATTTTATAGTTACTCTTTTGAGTTGGGATGAAATATAGATCAGAATCTGACAGAATGATAAGATAAAGAACAAATAGGAAATGTTTATCAATCACTTTTATTTATTATTTTTATTTATCACTTTTATTAAAGCTTTATCAGAGAATGAGATATGGAAAAAAAAAGAAAGTAATCCTGCTATTTTTATTTATGTAGTGTTTGATTTTCATTGGTTATTTTTATATAAATTAACACATTTTGGTATTGTATATATTCTTGTAAATAGCTTTTTGTTTGGTTGAACATCAGAACAACTTTTTTCTTTTCTATTTTTTTACTTTTTATTTTTATATTTTAGAGAACTGAGTTTTATGGCCAGTGTAGTTTTCTATAGACTTCTATAAGATTTTAATGTTGTCATATTTGGAATTATTAGAGGTTATATTGAGGTGCTGAGATGAAATTAGTCACAATGATCTAATACATATCAATCAGGTTTTACAGTGATATACTCTATGTGAAATAGAAATGGATATGTTTGTTAAGTGGGTGCTGAAAAGTTCTTGTTCTAACTTCCCAAAATCAATACTCTGACATTTGGTCATTGAAATGCTGATTTTGGAAAGTTGGTTAGGCTTTAAAATCTCCTCATAATTTGGTGTTTGATTATTATGTAATTTGAATAGATGACACCTAACTTACATTTTATTTCAATTTGAAATTATTTATAGTGTTGTTTCCACATATCTGACAAAAATCAATATTAAGTATCTCCATGGAATCACTAAAAATTCAGCATACCGTAATCAAAGAATGCTCCAAACTTAATGAAAACAAAGTTTTATTGTGAAAATGTTTATTATTATTTAGAGGAAAGAGCAAAGTATTTTTTGATTATCATAATAAATTTTTTCATCTCTTCTAGCATGTTCGAAATTTTGTTAAAAAAAATTCTGAATTCCCACAAAAATTTTTTTTTTCACTTTTAAATACAAAATGCGATAAAGTTGTAAAATATTTTAAAATTTTAAAAATATATTAAAATTTCAATCCATAAGTTTTAAGGAATGCTATTATTAAGTAGATCTATCTTTATAGATGATAAATTTGAAAGCTTTACAAT